TGGGTGGGTGGGTGGATGGATGGATGGAGTGGGGTGGGTGGGTGGATGGATGGATGGAGTTGGGTGGGTGGGTGGATGGATGGATGGAGTTGGGTGGGTGGGTGGATGGATGGATGGAGTTGGGTAGATGAGCGGATGGTTGGATAGATGGAGTAGGGTAGGTGAGCGGATGAATGCATGCATGGATGGATGGTGGATGGATGGATGGAGTGAGATAGGTGAGTGGACAGATTAATGGAACAGGGTAGTGAATGGATGGGTGGATGGAGGTGGGTAGGTGAGTGGGTATAGTGGGGTAGGTGAGGGATGGATAAATGGATGGATGGGTAGAGAAGTAGGTGAGTAGATGGATGAATGGAGTATGGTGGGTGAGTGGACAGATGATGGACTCATGGATGGATGGAGCAGGGTAGATGAGGGACGGATGGATGGATGGATGGATGGATGGATGGATGGATGGATGATTGGGGTGGGTAGATGGTAGGTGGACAGATGGACCAGTGAGTGGGAGAGTGGACAGATGGCCAGATAGATGGATGGGTGGCTGTGTAGATGGGGTGATAAGGGAGGGAGAAAGAAAACCTGGATGACAATGGCTGCAAGGCAAAGGGGGTGGTCCAGTGGAGTGGAGGAGCCTGCACCAAAAATTGCCTTCCTGGAGCAAATGTTTGTCTTTTCTTTTTTCCATGAACTGAACCTCCCAGCTTCTCCTGGAGGAGCACATTCTGTGTTTAGTTCAACAGACAAGAAAGGGTCCCTTGGAGCCTTTTGATTGCAGTCCATCTGCCTTTGATGGACTTGAATGGTCATCGAGAGGAATTGAGGGGACCCACTTGTTAAGCCCTTCCTATATTTACCTTAATTAAAATACAGTGGCTAGTCTTAAGTTGGGGTTTTCAAACTGGGTTTAAGAGAACACTTATTGGCCGGGCGCGGTGGCTTACGCCTGTAATCCCAGCACTTTGGAAGGCCGACGCAGGCGGATCACGAGGTCAAGAGATCGAGACTATCCTGGCCAATATGGTGAAACCCCGTCTCTACTAAAAATACAAAAATTAGCTGGGCACGGTGGTGTGTGCCTGTAGTCCCAGCTACTCGGGAGGCTGAGGCAGGAGAATTGCTTGAACCTGGGAGGCAGAAGTTGCAGTGAGCCGAGATTGTGCCACTGCACTCCAGCTTGGCGCCTGGCAACAGAATGAGACTTTAAAAAAAAAAAAAAAAAAAAAAAAGAGAATACTTATTTTTTTGTAAAATATTTTAAAAGTTTTTAAAACTCTAATTTAAAAAATCAATTTCGTTGGAGGCCACCGGAATATCTGAGTGTCCCCCAGTTGGCCTGTTTTGTGCCCTCTCTGCTTAAGTGACAGTTCTGAGATTTCAAGGAGAGCAGCTGATAAACTTACCATTAGCAACTCCTTATCAATGTGTCTTTTCTCTATACTGTGTAACAAAGCAAAATACAGAAATCAGCTGGATGTGGGTCTGATGTGATTGGAGCCGCCATCTGTAACCCCAGTTTAAAACGTTTGCCTTCCCAAAGCAGCCATTTTGTTCTCAGCAGCAGCCCTTACAGTAAGAAAATATTATGGAGCCAGGCGTATCATTTATTCCTTTTCTTGGTTTCACGTGTCAAGGTTTCCATGTTGGATTTTTTTTTTTTTAAAGGGAGAATTTCATTGATAATCTTAAAAAGAGAAAAGAGGGCTGGGCATACACCTGTAATCCCAGGTGTACTCACACCTGTAAGTGGCTCACACCTGTAATCCCAGCACTTTGGGAGGCCAAGGTGGGCGGATCACCTGCGGTTGGAAGTTTGAGACCAGCCTGACCAAAATGGAGAAACCCTGTCTCTACTAAAAATACAAAATCAGGCCGGGCGCGGTGGCTCACGCCTGTAATCCCAGCACTTTGGGAGGTCGAGGTAGGGGTATCAGGAAGTCAGGATATCGAGACCATCCTGGCCAACATGGTGAAACCCTATCTCCACCAAAAATACAAAAATTAGGCCGGGCGCGGTGGCTCAAGCCTGTAATCCCAGCACTTTGGGAGGCCGAGGCGGGTGGATCACGAGGTCAAGAGATCGAGACCATCCCAGTCAACATGGTGAAACCCCGTCTCTACTAAAACTACAAAAAATTAGCTGGGCATGGTAGCACATGCCTGTAATCCCAGCTACTCAGGAGGCTGAGGCAGGAGAATTGCCTGAACCCGGGAGGAGGAGGTTGCGGTGAGCCGAGATCGCGCCATTGCACTCCAGCCTGGGCAACAAGAGTGAAACTTTGTCTCAAAAAAAAAAAAAAAAAAAAAAAAAAAAAAAAAAAAAAAAAAAAAAAAAAAAAAAAAAAAAAAAGAAAAGAAAAGAAACAAAAACAAAAAAAAGAGAGAGAGAGAAAAGAAAAGAAACAAAAACAGAAACCCACCAGACAAATCCCCATGAAGCCTTTTGGCTCTTCTTGTCTCTGCCTCTGTCCCCTGGGTGGTGTCCAACCCTCTGCCTTTCTCCCTCTGTGCTGGTAAAGATGGTTCTTCCCTAGGGCTCTTGGTCCCCCTGTCATCCCACTCCAGGCCCTTTTACCAACAGAGGCCTCACTGGCCCCACAGACACATCATGGGGAGGTGCCTTGTCCTCCATTAGGTCAAGGTTAAGAAATTGCCAGGATTCTCTTCTGAACCTTTTATGGGCCAGCCATTCATAAATTTGCCCAAACCCTCAGTGGTCCTGCCAAGGTCACCTCCTGGCGTCGTGAGTCCATGTTTATTACCTGCCGGGTGAGGCAGTGCTTCCTTCTCAGCGGCAGCCTTGTCGAGGCCCTTCTAGAACTTCCTTAGGGGTGTGACTGCAGCTATATGGGAGGCTTGGCTTAGCTCCTGTGAGCCTTGAGGCTGGAATAGTCCAGTCTATGCTGCCAGCTGATGTTAATAATCCTGGCTCTAGACCTAACTGGTGAAGCCAGCTGATCCCTAACAGAGAGCATTCTGGAACATTGTGCAGAAAGAGCTCTGCTATCGCCTCTGCATTTGTAGGAAACGAACTGGGCTGGCAGGAGACAGCCTGCGGAAAAGAATATATGAGAAAAACTTGTAAATACATATCAATTGATTGATCATAAGAGGGCTGAGAAATGACTGGTTCACAGCCAAGGCGAGTGGATCACGAGGTCAGGAGTTCAAGACCAGTTTGGCCAAGATGGTGAAACCCTGTCTCTACTAAAAACTATAAAAAAAATTAGCCAGGCATGGTGGCAGTTGCCTGTAATCCTAGCTACTCAGGAGGCTGAGGCAGGAGAATCACTTGAACCCGGGAAGCGGAGGTTGCATTGAACCAAAATCGCGACACTGCACTCCAGCCTGGGTGACAGAGCATGTCTCCGTCTTA